CTCGCTAAAGCGGCGGGTGCGGAGCCAGCTGGCCAGAGGAGAGATGAAAAATTGCACGCCGTTGTGGCGCGAAGCACATTTCGAAGTCAAAATGTACAAAACACACCAGGTTCGGACCACTTTTGGAAGTTTAGATGTCGAAAAATTGCACGCCGTTGTGGCGCGAAGCAAATTTCGAAGTCAAAATGTACAAAACATTACAAAACACACCAGCTTCGGACCACTTTTGGAAGTTAAGATGTCGAAAAAGTGCACGCCGTTGTGGCACGAAGCACATTTCGAAGTCAAAATGTACAAAACACACCAGGATCGGACCACTTTTGGAAGTTTAGATGTCGAAAAAGTGCACGCTGTTGTGGCGCGAAGCACATTTCGAAGTCAAAATGTACAAAACATTACAAAACACACCAGCTTCGGACCACTTTTGGAAGTTAAGATGTCGAAAAAGTGCACGCCGCTGTGGCGCGAAGCACATTTCGAAGTCAAAATGTACAAAACACTACATGTTCGCGCCACTTTTTGGAGGTTCAGATGTCGAAAAAGTGCACGCCGTTGTGGTGCGAAGCACATTTCGAAGTGAAAATGTACAAAACACTAGGGGTTCGGACCACTTTTGGAGGTTCAGATGTCGAAAAAGTGCACGCCGTTGTGGTGCGAAGCACATTTCGAAGTGAAAATGTACAAAGCAGTAGGGGTTCGGACCACTTTTGGAGGTTCAGATGTCGCTTCGCCGCTTCGCTTCACTACACTACACTACGTTACATTACACCACACTCCACTATACTACACTAACACTACACTACACTCCACAACACTACAACTACAACTACACAACTAGACTACACTCCACTACACTCCACTACATTAAATTTCACTACACTACATTACACTACACTACGCTCCACTACACTACATTAAATTACACTACACTCCACTACACTACATTACACTACACTACGCTCCACAACACTACAACTACAACTACACAACTACACTCCACTACACTCCACTACACTAAATTACACTACACTACACTACATTACCCTACACTACACTCCGCTACACTACACTACACTCCACTACACTACACTACATTACACTACACTACCTTCCACTACACTTCACTACATTACACTACACTACACTCCACTACACTACAACTACAACTACGACTACACAACTACACTCCACTACACTCCACTACACGAAATTACACTACACTACACTACATTACACTACACTACACTACATTCCACTACACTCCACTACACTACACTACACTACATTACACTACACTACAATACACTGAATGACACTGCACCACAGATAGACAGGTAGACAGATAGACAGATAGACAGATAGATAGATAGATAGATAGCACAGTAGACAGCTAGACAGATAGACAGATGAAAGAGAGAGAGAGAGAGATAGATAGATAGATAGATAGATAGATAGATAGATAGGTAATTAGATGGAAGAGAGAGAGAGAGAGAAGAGAGAGAGATAGATAGATAGATCGATAGATAGATAGATAGATAGAAAATAGATAGGTAGGTAGGTAGATAGTCAGAGAAAGAGATAGAAAGAGTGAGAGAGATCAAGCACCTTTCAGTCCATCAGTGGCTTCGCTCTGCCATCCCTGATTCACAACAACCAACCTCTCCTATAGGTTTCCTATTTTTGAAACTTCCGCCACCGCCTTGTGCGGTACTACTGGTATATTATGCTTATTATACAAATGGACACACACACACACAGATACTGGTGTTTGAAGCTTCGAGCCAAGGAAAGCCTACCCTGATGAGAAAGGTTCAGGAAACTTAGACCTGGTGCGACGTGAGGCTCCTGCCCTGGAAGAAGCACTTGTGGGCATTGTGCGCTGTGATGGTGACATGTGGTGACCAAGTGCCGGGATTCTCACGGTTTGGAATATTGTGATGCAATTTAGGTCCCGCGACAAATTCGCTCTTCTCTATCAGAATTGGGGGGCAGCTGCTTCAAGGGCGGGGTGACTGTTCCCAGAGGAGGAAGGCTTCTTCATTTGAAACAGCGGAAGCAGTAGAATTCTTCAAGGAGGGTAGGTGAAGGTCAGGGTGCTTCGGGGGGAGGGGTGAGCTTGGTGTTCTCTTTTGATCCTGTTTTCGCTTGCCATGTTTTCGAAGCAGCCGGGGTTGGCACGGGTCTTGCCGAGCAGCCCCCGCCAAAGCAAATTGACCTTCAGCACACCTCTTAAGACTCTAAACATCATATCTCTAGAAGAAACACACAATTTGCCTTTCTCAAAGACTCAATTGAAGCAACCTGTGAAAGGAAGCCTCGGCACTCCCCCCCTCCCACCGCTGCCTTTGGGGCGCTTTCTTCACATTTCCCAATGATGCTTTACCTGCAGTGCTTTGCCCATGCAGCATTTTAGAAGGATCAAGATGGACTGCACCTTTTGAGCCATGCCGTTGAACGCGACATGGAGCTACACAGCTTTTGTGAGCCCTGGGAAGCTTCCCTGGGAGATCTGCACGATGTTTGGTGTCACAACAGTTTGCTTCATGGTGACTTTAGCAATCAGTATGAGATGGGCAATTCAGGATTGCCTCAAGAGCCAAGCCATAGTTGAGGAAGAAAAGCGGCCTATCGTACCAATACATTTGGAGCTAGTCCGGCTGATCCTCGCAACTCCTGCCATCATTTCTTCGATGTCAGTTGTTTGCATGATTCGGCCATCAGCTGCTTTTGTCCTTGAGCTTTTGATGGCCATCTTCTCCTGTGTCGTGGTGGGCAACATGACTCGATATTTTTTGGCCCTACTTGGAGAGCCACCTTTGCCACAACAGCTGTTGGCAAGAGTGCCAAAAAGGCGTTGGTGGTGTGGCTGCTTTTGTGGTGGTGTCAATGACACACTGCCCGGGATGGGCTTGGTTTGGAGCAAGACACCACATCGAGTCTCTCTAGTCGACGTACACAGGGCAACGTGCATGGTCAGGATATTCATGACCGTCTTCATAGCAATCAACTGCACTCAGCTGTCTTTCAGCATGGTGCCAGTTGACATCCGCCTGAAACCTGACGGCTGGTGTGAATCGAAGACCATAGTGTCATCAGGCGTCATATCTGGCTTCGTAGTATTTTTTACTGTGTGGGCCAGTTTTGTCGGGATGGCTGGCTTCAGTGTGGTTGCTTCGTCGGTAAGCTCGGTGCTGGACGTTGAGATTGAAATCTTAGAGGGCAACGAGGCAAAGCTGATCAAGAATTTCAAAGTCGGCTCGCAGTCGAAGACAGTTGCGATTTACATGCTGCTGCCCCTTTTGTTGCCAATCCTTTCGGCAATGCCAATAGGGTTCAAGGGTGCCACAGTCTCTGTAGCTCACTTGGGTCCAAATCTCGATTGCCCGGTCTATGACCAAGAGGTGTGTGGCCATATGATGTACTCTATGAGCATAGCAATCGGAATGATGTTCGTGTCAATCTTGAACTACAGGAGCTTCCGCCCAGCAGATATGTCTGCCGACAGAATTCCAGAGGTTCTTGCACAGCTGAACCCTCCATCTCCTGCTGATTTTGACGAGCACGATGAAGAGTCACAGGGATCTTCTGTAGAGTCAGAATAGAGTCAGAAAAAATGAAATAATAACTTTGCATCATTTTGCTGGCCGACAGGTCTAATAATTCGGCAGAAGGGGAATGGTGTGCAGCGTGGAAGCGCTAGAGCACTGGACACAAGTGCCCGCAACTGCATCAAACTTGGTGCAGCCCCAAGAATGCCATCCCGTTCTTAGTGCAGAACGTCCAACAATCTTACGGTTCGATCGGCTCGACAAAAAAGATCAATCACTCTTAAAATTTTGCGACAAGTTGTCTTGGATGACAGGGAGACTCTTGATCTTGAACTTTCGCTGTTCCAAGTGAATAGCTGATTGCATGAACGTTGTTTAGTCAGGCAGAACAGGTAGTTATTCTTTGAACCTGACTTCTAGTTGCACCCAAGCTGTCAGAGCCAAATTCCAAGTGATCAATTTGCCCACAAACTTTGGTCTGGAGGCTGGAGATGTAGGAATCTACCATGTGTGGCCGGCGCAGCATAAAATATGGTCTGGCACTGAGAATCCCAAACGAGTTGTTGGCAGGGCAAGTTCGACTGTCTCAGTGTCCAGCTTGAATGCCCTAGTCATTGCAAAGACAATGTCATTATTGAGATATGATATGGGTTTTGTGGAACTTTATTTATAGAATTTTACAGGTCTATATTCATCTATATTCCCAAAGCGAATCTGTTGGGTTTCAGTCTCTGGGGCCGGGGACTGGTGACACGAAAATGCACGCCCCGAAAAACCGGAACAGTCCTGGAACCTTGCTGGAAGCTTTCGCTGTTGGGTTGCAAAGCTGGGCTATATATAGCCTCTGCTTGCAGGAAATTGACAGGAACGCAGCACCTTGTAATTGCAAACATGTGACCTTGCCATCTGTCTTTCAAAGCTTGAATGACCTTGCCCAGCGTCTTCAGAGCGTGACATTTGCTATTACGAGTGACCTTGCCAAGTGTCTTTCAAAGCTTGACATTTGACAGTTGCAATCACGGATGACCTTGCCAAATGTCTTTCAAAGCTTGACATTTGCTGCCGTCTTTTCATCTCAAGCATCATCTTTCAACCACCTCCACCCCATCCTCCACACTGGATCTTTTGAGCGTGCTCGGCATTTCGAAGTGGAAATTCTATGCCTTGATTCAGCTTCTAGCCATGTGTGGCAATGCAGTTTCAAACAGTCCTGCTCGATTTGGCAGTTGCAGTGGTACGGAGTGGAGCCATAAAAAATAGTTTGCTTGGACATGCTTGGACATGCCTGGAAGACATTGACTGAGTGCTATTGTGTCAGGTTCCAGAGACATCGCTCGGTTTTTGGGCTTATGAATCCGAGCTTGGAACTGAGCGAGTTGCGAGAAGCCACTTGTGAGAAGTCAACTAGAAGTCAGCTACGAGACTGTTTGTTCCCCACCTGCCAGGTGAGGGTTGTTAGATTTTATGTCAGATGCCTCCTCCTCCTGCCTCGTCCTCCTCTCCTCCTCCTCCTCTCCTCCTCGTCCTCCTCGTCCTCCTTGTCATCCTTGTCGTCCTCGTCCTCCTGCTCAACTGCGACTCGCGATCCACAGTGTTCGCTGTCGGACCTCAACCACGACCATCCACGCCCAGTGTTCCCTGCCGGACCTCAACCACGACCATCCACGCCCAGTGTTCCCTGCCGGACCTCAACCACGACCATCCACGCCCAGTGTTCCCTGCCGGACCTCAACCGCGACCATCCACGCCCAGTGTTCCCTGCCGGACCTCCACCACGACCATCCACGCCCAGTGTTCCCTGCCGGACCTCAACCGCGAGTATCCACGCCAAAAGATATGCCACATAGAGTGCCAGAAGATATGCCAGATAGAATGTTAGAAGATATGCCAGATAGAATGCCAGAAGGTATGCCAGATAGAATGCCAGATAGAATGTCAGCTAGAATGCCAGAAGATATGCCAGATAAAGTGCCAGAATGTTTGCCAGATAGAATGCCAGCAGATTTGCCAGATAATATGCCAGAAGATATGCTAGATAGAATGCCAGATGGAATGCCAGAAGATTTGCCAGATAATATGCCAGAAGATATGCCAGATAGAATGCCAGATGGAATGCCAGAAGATATGCCAGAACATCTGCCAGAAGATATGCCAGAACATCTGTCAGAAGATATGCCAGGTAGAATGCCAGAAGATATGCCAGATAGAATGCCAGATCGAATGCCAGAAAATATGTCAGATAGAATGCCAGAAGATTTGCCAGTAACAAAATGTATAAATGTCATGGTGGGGATCACACGAAGTAAAGTAATTTTTTCTCATGCGAGGTGCTGGTACTGAGGTACTAAGGTCAGGTATTTTGAGATATGGTGTCATGTGAGGTGCTACGATTTCGATTTCCGATTTCATGGCCGAACAATGCAGAATGTGCAGGTTGGTTCAGCCGTGCATTCTGGCGGCAGGTCCTGAGTGACGGTGCGTGACTGCCTCAGGGGGAGGCTGAGCTTGCAGAATACATTTTTCTTTTATTGCACCGAAAGAATTCCTAGCAGCTAGCAGATTCTACATTCTGGGATTCTAGTTGAATCAGCTTGAGTCATGAAGATACCCGAAAGGGAGATATAATATGATCATATTATATGTGAGAACCACCAGTTTGTAGGCACAGATTCGCCTTCCGCATCACCACTTGAGCCAGGTTGAACGACTGCCGTACCGTAGCCTTTGCCAGAGGCACAAGCTCGAAGCCCCTTGGATCATCCGCCGTGTGCCGGCGCATGGTTGTCTGAACAACTTGCTGCTGGCCCAACGATATCTTTTGGCCTGCGTTTGAAGCTAGAAACGTTTAGCATCTCCGCCTGCCACTGGAGTGAAATAGCCATTTGCAAGAGACAGATCAGTTGCATCAACAGCTCTGCGCCAGTTTTCAAGCCGGTAGCGGTGCCCCAGATCGGGGCATCCGCTGCGCTACCTTGCGCTACTCCGTGAAGATGGCGCGCTCTGACACAGCCAAGTTCCAGAATGTCAGAGATGATGAAATCATGGTGGACAGAGACGGAATACCACATTACACAAGAGTCATGCCACACCTCATGAAAGAGTACAAGCAGCGTGTTCTCTTTGCACATGCAGGTCTGGAGGGAGAAGGTGACACAGAGGAGAAAGAAGCAGCAGACTTGTTGAAAGGACAGAGGAGATTCGCAAAGAGGCTCATAGACGCCTTGCATGGAGAGGCCTGGACAGCATGCCAAGATCTACTCAAGGAGCCAGAGAAGTTGCGCGTGCCCAAGGGCTACGAGATGGTTTTCGAAGCTCTTGGGATGATTGAGAAGGAGACAATCATGCGCAAAACAGAGGCGTTTGGGAAGTTCTTTGACCACAGCCACAGAAACAAGCCGTTGACAGCTACCTTAGGGAGAAGAAGCAGGCTTGGCGTGAATTACGAAACCTTGATGAAGCAAGCAACATTTCGGAAGATCTTCAAGCCTACTTCCTTCTCCATGGCTGCAATCTGAGCCGTGATGATCGCCGCTCAATTTTTCTGGCGAACCGATCTTCCTACACAGGCACGGGCATTGAGCAAGCCTTGAGGATTTCCTTCCGTGACCAGCATGAGAAGGAGCGACACCGAGCCACTGAGGATAGATCGCCACGGAAGAAGGGTCATGGCAAGGGGAAGCGTTCCTATGCACATGCTGTCGATGACTATGAACCATGGGCAGTAGACTGGGATGAGGAAGATGAAGATCAAGACTATGCCAATGAGGCCTATGAGCAGGTCACTGAGGAGTCAGCATGGCAGGATGATGAGGACAAGCCCACATCAGACCAGGGTGCGTCCAATGATGAAGAGATCAATGAGGCATATGCAGCCATGGATCAATTCAGGAAGACATATAGAGATCAGAGAAAGAAGCTCAAGGATCTGCAGAAGGCCAGAGGATTTTTCCGAGGTGAATTCACAGTTGAAGAGAGAGCCAAGGTGATTGAGCAAGAGAAGGCTCGAAGTCGCTGTGGAACATGCGGAAGAGTGGGGCGTTGGTCAGGAGACGCGGCACGTCCCAAATCCAGCAGCAAGCCCGGAAAGGCCAAAGGGAAAGGCAACCAAGGGCAAGAAACCAGGATCGGCCAATGTGGTTTCAAGCACTCCCTTTCCAACTTACTACACCTTGACACAAGATGACATGGATGCATATGCAGACATGCTTCATGCTGAACGAGAGCAAGATGAGGAGGCAAATGGGATGCCCATGGATGGTGGTGACGACGGGCGGCGCAGACGCGTCCCAGAGCCACGAATTGCGGGCACTTCTTCCTGGAGTGAAGTCTCGCCTGGCGAGAACTATGCTGGTGACATTGTGATCGGTGGCGTGCCCTGCCGACCAGTTTCTTCTTTGCCCAGTGCAGGTGAGGTGGAGGCCCTGCGTGCATCAAATGTAAAGGTTCACCCAGTAGCCCTTTCGGCTGAGGAGCGTGTCAAGCCCAATCTGAATCTCATGCGAGTTGGTCCACTCAGAGAGCTTTGCATCACCAACGAGATCGCCTACTCCAACCTGAACAAAGAGCAATTGGTGGAGAGTTTGGCAAAGTTCTATGATGGGCAAGTTGTACCGAAGAGAGGATCCGGAGGATGAGACACCTCAGGAACAAGCGCCAGTCATGCCAGCTCGGTCCAATCCAGCATCCAGTGCAGTGCGTTCAAGTCCTGCAGCCAGTGTGAGATCAGGACCAGTCACTCCAAAGATTGGTCACATGAGTGCCCCATGGTCCCCAGTGGCAAGTTCTTTGGGCGCACCAATTTCTTGCCCAGGACATGCAGATTCACTTTGACCTTTGAGGAGGAGTCAGCCGTTTTCGAAGCTCACTGTCAGAGCTGCATGGCCAGGTGTTGGAGACCCGATCCATGGGATCGGGCCATGCCTAGAAGCTTGGAGGAGGAAGCAAGGAGCGAGGTGATGACCTCGCTATGCATGAGTTTGAATTCATTAGCGGTTGAGGAGCCAGTTACAGCCCACATGGTATCTTCGTTTGAGATGGAAGAGTTTTGCAATTTAGGCGATGCCTCTGGAGACGAAGCCACTTTGGCATTGATAGACACAGCATGCACGGCTTGCATGCGCAGTATGAACTGGAGGTTAGCCTTTTCAAAGCAGCTGCCGGAGTCGGTTAGATATGAACCTTTGCAGCTGTTCAAAACCTTTCATTTTGCGAATGGCTCATCAACGGCTTCACAAATTCAAGTTTGGGAGATTCCAATTTGCTTGTGTGGCAGACCAGGCGAAGTGCATTCAGCCGAAGTGCCAGAGGGCAATACTCCCCTTCTTTTGTCCATTTCAGCTCTTGAGTCCCTGAATGCAATCATTTTCATGAAGGAGAAGTGCATAAAGCTGCAGGAACTAGGCATCGCACTTCCTTGGAGTACCACTCGCACCAGGCACTTAGCAATTGATGTTTCCTTGTGAACTTGGAGTTTGAGGTTCCACGTACAGAGGTCAGCAGGCCATTGCTTAAGTCAGAAGCTGATGACCTACATGTGTTTTGGACAGAGGAGGCCAAAGAGAGCATTTTGCAGGAGTTTGCGCTGCTGCAATCACATGATACTGCAATTTTTGAGGATGAGTTTCGGCCGAACGTAGGCCCAAGAGGAGTCACGGTCAAAGATCGCAGAAGGACACTTCATGCAGCACGGTTTGAAGCATTGCAGCAGGCAGCCATCAGCCAGAGAATCCTTGATGCTCAGATGTGGATCGCCTTGCGACACAACTACACCAAGGCGGAGGAGTTCGTCACTCATGGCTTCCACAACACCATGATCTTTGAGCCATGGGGTGGAAATTTTGCAGTTACAAGACTTGCGTCGAGCCGAGGTTGGGTGAACAGCCGGCCGATGGACATCAAGGATGGCGTGGACCTGCCGAGTGAAAAGGGGCAAGAGCTCATTTGGCAAACTTTGGAAGAGCATGACCCCTAGCTCACCTTGATCGCCTTCGACTGCAGGCTTCGGACCACGCTCACAAATCTCAGCCAGCACATTGACTGGAACAAGCTTCGACAGACGGTCGGCAAGAAGACCGTGAAGCTAGTTTATGAGATTACATGCAGTGCACAGGCATCAGCGTGGCAAGTGCTACCTGCTTGAGAACCCTCAAGGGGCTTTGTCATGGATTTTCCAAGGCTGCGTTTGCTGGACGAAGCAGCAGGCAAGTTTGTTGAAGGCGACCAGTGCCGTTACGGCAAGGTGGATGAGTCAAAGAAGCCAGTGAAGAAAAGAACAGGTTGGCTGGGCAACAATGAGTATGTCCTCAACAGGTTGGGAAAGCAATGCAACTGTCCACAAGGCAGCCATGACCCCGTCATTGGGGGTACACGATCAAAAGCAGCAGCAGTTTACCCCAAACAACTTTGTGAGGAGATCTTGCTTGGCTTGGAGGACAGTATGGTGGCAGATTATGTTCTTTACAATGCGCGCAATCATGAGGAGGCCTTTCCAGTTGAGGCTGAGATCTCAGCAGAAGAGCAACCAAGCGAGGCGTCCAACAAAGAGTTTAAGGAGCTCATGGATATGTTGGATGAACCAGCCAAACCGGGAGAGGCAGAGGCACCACCCGTACCAGCACCAGCCACACCCAGCAATGTTTTGAGGAGAAGACCGAGAGTGCAGGAAGTAAAGAAAGGAGCATGGCAAAACATCACAGAGGCAGCTGTCTTAGAGAAGTTTTGCGACGAACTCTGACTTGGACATTAGAAACAGGTGCAGTGGATTGGGCAGCTGCAGAGCAAGAAGCAGGTCAGACTGACCTCAAGCTGATCCCGGTTTCACGTTTGGCGAGGAAGATGAAGAAGCCGCAAACACATGCCGGCCCCATGGAGGTACCGTTGAGAAAGGCCTTGATCCTGATGGACAATGATGAGGTGACCAGCAGTGGTTGGGAGGAATGGCATAAGCTAGCACCTACACAACAGAACAGAGCACTTCCCAAGCAGACCCAGACAGCTGACCGTAATGATGTTTGGACAAGACATTAATGATTAATGCACCAGCGGAGGAGCAACAGCCTGAGGATGAAAGTGTGAAGGCAAAATGGGAGAGAGTCCCCACAAAGCTCGATTAGCAAGTCGAAGAGTCCATGTTAACCTTGGACATGCAAGGTTGCCAGACATGTTGAGAGCCTTGCGAATTAGCCATGCCAGCGAAGCAGCGATACGAGCCACAAGGCTTTTCAGGTGCGCACGCAGAATGTCCACGTCTAGCTGAACCCAAACTGCCTCGACAATCTAGGTTGCCAAAAGTGGATGAGTTTGGTGTCATAGTTGTGCTAGACGTTATATAGAGGTGAAGAACTCAGACCAAGTCTCATGGAGCCTGCTGAAATTGACTAGACCTGTGAACAACATACCAGGTAGTGGTCCTGATGGATCAAGCTGTCCGCATCCCAGCTTCAGCAAAGATTTCAGATGCTTTCAATCAAGGTTGTGCGTCGTGGGCAGGTTTGCCAGAGAGAGGTGTTGTTTAGACCAGGCAAGGTGTTTCATGACAGAGTTTGCAAAGAGGCTTGAGGAGCAGGGATGCGAGGTTTCAGTAGCAGCTAAGGCATCACAATGGCACATAGAGAGAGAGAGAGAGACATCGTGGAACTTGGAAAACTATATGGCGAAAGCTTGTCTGGAGTCAGCAGATTTCAGATCTGCCTGAAGTTCTTCAAGCAGTAGCAGAGACCAACAAAGCGCGCAACTCACTGGCGCGACGTTCAGGTTTTAGCCCTGAACAATGGGTCTTGGGAAGATCTATACGACTACCAGCTGACTTGCTTGATGATGCAGAAGTCGCGCGAATAGGAGCACAAGCAGCAGCCCTGACTCCAACAACAAGATTCCACAGACAAGTCCAACTTAGAACAGCAGAAAGAGAAGCATGCATCAAAGCTTCAATCTGTGAAGCATTGCGGCGAGCGGAACTCAGCTGAGTGAGGCCGAGCCGTGGCCCATTTCCAGTCTTCTACTATGACAAGCCAATGGGAGACAGCAAGCATGGCCCTAACAACTGGAGAGGCATTGCTCGAGTGATCGGGCACCACTCGAATTGAGCCACAGAGGCATTTTGGTAGCTGCTTCACTGGAGCATCTTAGTTTGGCAGATGATTTGGAGGTTCGCGGCTGGATGATAACCTCCAGGGAGACAGAACTCCTTGATGCAACGCCAGCGGTGACTTCCAACACCTTTTTGGATATTCGCCGGAAGGATGTTCCGCCTTTAGAAGTTTTTGAGGAGACACGTGAAGAGGTGGATGAAGATGAGAAGCAGCAACAACAGATGCAGTTGCACCATAAGAGACACCTCTGCCAAATGAGGAGATCAAGATACCAGATTATGAAGAGTCAGAAGCATATATATACTCCATCAGAAGGACCAGATGCACACATGAAAGAGCAGGAAGCAGAGAGTCCTGCTTCCAAGAAGAGGCGTGAGGAGTTTGAGCTGGGCATGAAGAGGCAGCCAGAAGGAGGATGGTGAGATCTAGTGTTTTCGTCAAAGCGAAGGAGGACGAAAGAAAGTTGAAGAAGACTTTGTCCCTGAAGTCTGTGCCCTACACCGAAAAGTGTAAGGACTTCAGGGATGGCTGAGATGCCGAATCTCGATGCCGACGAGGAGCTTCCACCTATCCCTCTGCAGCAGTATCCAGATCTCGACGCTTACCCTCAAGCAATGCCCACAGAGGGGGCGCCACCAGTTGAGGCGCGAACGGTTAGAGAAGAAGCCGAGGAGAGAGCAGCAAAGAGATTGAGGGTGACTTTACCAGCAAGAGAAAGCTCACCCACACGTGACAGTGCGTCGCACAGTGCGTTGTTTCTTTTTGCAGAAGATGTCAATGAGGTCATGGAAGCTGAAGCCGCAAAACAGTATGCGCTAAAGTCCGACTTTTACCAGGCAGCAGATGTTTCGTTTGAGGATTTCTTGTTTGGAGTAGAACGGAACCTATTTGACTCCCAGATTCACGAGTTGCAGGAGTCCGCTTTTGCAGCCAGCAACAAGCAGCAGTTTGACGCAGCCAAAGCAGCAAAGAAGGGGCGGAAAGAGATTCGTCTGAGTGATTTGGAAGCGAGGTTGCAGCAGGAATTATTGGAGAGAATGGCTCAGACAAGACAGAATGGCAAGGTTGGTTGGACAAGAAAGCATGTGAGTGAGCGCGTGAGAAGGAACAGCCCAGAGTTGATAGTCCCGACCAGGTGTCAGGGCAAACAAGAACGAAGGCGTAGCAGATGCCAACTTCAAAGCGAAGTCATGCTTAGTGGTGCAAGGGTTCAAAGACAAAGCTTTGGGCCGATACCGCCGTGATGCACCAACAGCATCACAAATAGCAGAGAGCATCTTGCTTTGCATCACCGTCTTTTACCACTTCAGTCTCATTTGCAAAGATGTGAAGAATGGTTATTTTTGTGGAAAGCCTCTGGAACGTGAGGTTTACCTTGAACAACTAAGAGGCGGCCTTCCAGGCCTCAAACCAGGCCAGCTGCTGCGAGCCCGACAGGCAATTTATGGTTTTGCAGAGGCGGCAAGGTTGTTTTGGTTAGCCTTGCGTGAGCATTTGATTTTAGATGGTTGGCAAGAGTCTTCTTTGGAATGAGCACTTTTCTATCACCGTTCACCAGAAGGTGTGCTCAATGGCATTCTGGTGACACATTTTGATGAGTTGGAGGGAGGTGTCCGTCCAGGTATGGAAGAGAAGCTGTTCAAGATGAGTTCACAATCACTGGACTTTGCAACAAACCATAGGAGGCCGAGCTTTACTTTCAGAGGCAGAGAAATAAAGCAGTTTGAGAAGAAGGATGCAGATGGAAATGTTTGTGGTGGTCACGTATATGTTTGCATGAAGAACTATGCGCTATCTATGAGCTAGATAGCAATTAGCAAAGAGAGAAGGGCACAAGTAGACGCAGGTCTGACCGAAGAGGAATAACTAGTTCTGAATTCAGGCGCAGGAGAACTTGGCTGGATAGCGAGACAACTGCGTTCAGATTTGGCTTTTGACAATGGTCGCATACAGAGGTGCAAGAAGAACCCGAAGGTTTCAGACTTGCTGAGGCTGAAAGCTGCAATTGAAGCTGCAAGACGTGGAGCAGACACTCGTCTGCGCTTTTTGGGATGATGTCGACTTGGAGAACGGCATCATACTGCATTTAGCTGATTGAGGTCACGCCAATGGGACACCAGAACATGATGACATTCAGCGATACCGCAGTGTTGGCGGTTACTACATACTGATTGCCAATCCAGAGGTCTTGGAGGGCAAAGCAGTTGTATAGGGCAAATGTTTTGGCTTTCAGCAGTAGCCAAACAAAGCGAGTTTGCAGAAGCACCCTTGCAGCAAAGGCGAGCCATTGATCTGAATCCATAGAGTGTGGAGACTGGATAATAATTGTTTTGCATGAGGCTTTGTATGGAAGCGTGGATTTGCGAAACTGGACGGATGTCATCGAGAAGCGGAAGAGGATTTACATAACTGATGCTCGGTCAGTGTTTGACTATGTGCACAAAGAGGCATGCTCTACTTCGTCAGACAAGCGGATGGCGATTGAAGGAGCTTTACTTAAGACTTAGAGAAACAGGACGGAAAGAGAATCCAGATGTGCGATGGATAGATGGTCGGCAGAGCATGGCAAATGTTTTGACAAAGATGAATACTGACAAGACAGCTTTGAGTCAGTTTCTGCGAGATGGACTTTTCAGTTTGACACAGACAGAGGAGAACAGAAAGCAAAAGTTAAAACAGCAGTTGCAACGACAGGTGCAAAAAGCGAAAAAAACATACAATGAGTGTGAGAACCACCAGTTTGTAGGCACTCATTCGCCTTCCGCACCACCACTTGAGCCAGGTTGAACGACTGCCGTAGCCTTTTTGCCAGAGGCACAAGCTCGAAGCTCCTTGGATCATCCGCCGTGTGCCGACGCATGGGTGTCTGAACGACTTGCTGCTGGCCCAACGATATCTTTTGGCCTGCGTTTGAAGCTAGAAACGTTTAGCATCTCCGCCTGCCACTGGAGTGAAAACAAAGAGCACATGCGTGCCCATTTGCAAGAAACCGATCAGTTGCATCAACAGCTCTGCGCCAGTTTTCAAGAGAGAGAGAGATATATATATATATATTAGTTAATTATATATGTATATATATATACATATACTATATAATTACATGTGTATATTGTTTGCTTTTTGTTAAGATCTGATACGACAAAGCTTCGCGCTTCAACTGGAGAGGTCAAGCAGCATGCCTCAAGTACTTCACGTCACCGGCATCACGCCGTTGATTTCAGTCAACACTCGAGCAGTCCTGTTCTCAGACGGCTTCCGCCAACATCGACCTTGCATGACATCGCTCCTTCAGGCGTAACGGCAGATGCCAGGCAAACTGAACTTTTCGGCACAAGCATCAACACATGCTTATTAGGATCAAAAGCGGATGTTGTTGGGGTCAGAGAAAAACATATCATCAGGGTCAAAAATTCTAGAAAAGGATTAAAGGAAGGCGGGAAGGAAGGAGGGAAGGAAGAAGGGAAAGAAGGAAAAAGGAAATCGGAAAGGAAGAAAAAAGAGAAGGAAGGGACTCAAGATAAGGAAGGGAAGGAGGGGAAGAACGGGAAGGAAGGGAAGGAAGGGAAGGAAGGAAGAGAAGGAAGGAAGAGAAGGAAGGAAAGTGTCTAGATCGCCTCTTATGTTCACTGTATACATTGTTCTTATCTTGCCTATCTTGTTTCTCTTGCGGATCATGTCTGTTTTGTTTTTCGTATCTATCTGATCTGACCTGACCTGACCTGACCTGACCTGATCTGATCTGATCTGATCTTATGTTTATCTTTCATTGATCTTTTATCTTGTGTTTTGTTTTCGATTATTCCATTTTTTTTCGGTTTATCTATCCTACATTCATCGCAAGCAGAGAGCAGCAGAACAAAAAGACAGTGGGGTTTAATTTCCCCTGGGAAGGAGGCGCTGCGCCCACCCCCTAATCCCCCCTCCACTACAAAATCCGCTCTTGATATTCTTGACTAATCTTATATAGACACTTCTATTTTATCTTATGTTGTCGTATCTTGTTATCTCATCATATCATCTCAGCTGTCTTGCCTATCTTCTCTATTTCAGTTTTTTCCCTATCTTTTCTGCCTAATGTTGCTTCTTGGTCTTGTCATTGTCTTGTTTTTTCTTACATCTTACATATCTTCTATTTTGTATCATGCCTGTATCTTATTTGTTCATATTTACCTTTTCTGTTTTATCTGTATTTTATCGTGAACGCAAAAGGGGGAGGGTGCAAGATGTGGACAAACGCGATGGGAAGAGGCTGCGCCTTCCATTTTCAAGGTAACCCTTTGAACATGATCCCGATATAGTTTTCTTTTTGGTCCCAATCACATATTTGTTGATCCCGAACCGAACTTTTTCACCAAGGTGAGTGGATATGCTTGGTTTTTTCTTTGATTTGGACACAGTATTCTAGGCCTTCAAACCACTTTCGACATTTGCTCTCAATGCGACTGAGGCTTGGGATCATGCATTAGAAGAAGCATGGGCCATCAAGGAGGAGACTAATGAGACTAATGGCACCCCAACTCTCTACAAATCATTGTGTGCATTGCGTGTCGCATTGTTAGCTTTGCTGGCTTTACTTCAATTTGGTCAAATCTTTGCATCACAAGCAAAAAGGATCGGCCCAACATCTTGCGGTCTCTCCTTGCTTGTTGGAGCTGCTGTCAATCCAGGACAGCATACTTGGACGCAAACTGGTCGTCACAATGGCAAGGGACCGAGGGGACTTCGTCCTCACCATGTTACCAGCTTCTGATCCTCAGCCGTCTTATTACATCTTATTGTTGTGTCAGGCCGTGCAAAGTGTGAAGTGTGAAATCGCCAAAGGCTGCATCACAGGCAACGAACTCTGCCTAGGACCTGAATCACCGTCCAGCCTTGGGGTCTTGGAAAGATTTGTGGCAAATGGCCAAAGGCTCAGCAGATGCAAAATCAGATGCCAGTGGATTTTGTGGCAAACATCTCAACTGCAGTGAAAGTTTTTTTCCGCCCAATTGCATAAGGCTGAACCTCATCTTCAAACTTTGGATCTCGTGGTCTTTTCAATTGGAGACGTCATCCAGGCAACTGGTTGCCCGGAAAGTCATTTCGGCTATCCAGTTTTTCTTGAGCACACCACAAACATGCTTACTCTCCAGCATCCTCCAGCTGCTCTAGTTTAGATCGCTCTGTAACATTCTGTAACTGTAACGCCTGATCATGTGGGCCGTGTGATTTGTCATGATTTGTCAGTTGATACGACCGGCAGGTGGGTGAAGTGTTTGGTGAGAACTTTGCAGCTGACTTCAAGGTGGAAAAGAGGGTTTTACTACGTTAGTTTTACTTACGTTTCAGGAGGTTTTCAAGAGGTTTTGTATCAAGACCGATGTATGCAAGACTTACCCAAATGTAACTTGTCATGCAGCCAAAAGCAGGAATTGTTTTTGTTCCATGCGCCTTGTTTGATCTGTATCTTTTTGATCCGTGTGACATCTTTTGTTTTTTTTGATATTTTTTGCATTTGTTAGTGTAGATATCTTGCTGCTGCCCTATCCCTCAGTGTACACAGTCGCTTTGCTGTGCCGCTGCCCTGAGGCTCTGAAGGAAGAGTCACCAGGCCGTGCTGGTGCAGCTGGTTTGGACACGCTAGTGTCCGGCATCCCAGAACTTTACAACGGCAGAACTACAACATTATGCGCCGCCAAGATATATGCCAAGGACATCCATCTGACAAAGTCGTACAGTCATACCTGTTTTTAAAATGCATGGTTACACTTTTATTGAAAACCGCGTTCCATGCAGAAAAGCACTTAGGCATGAAGGCGTGACCTCTTGGATACAGCGTTTACAATGGTTGCCATTCAAAAACACGCTTGGCATGACTTAGACGCATTGCCGTTTTCCTGTATCATTGACGCAGTGACACAAAACGCACACACACACACACGCACAACACACACACACACACACACACACACAGACACACACACAGACACACACACACACACACACCCACCCACCCACCCACCCACACCACCACCCCACCACCCCCACCCAGCCCACGCCCCGCCCACGCCCACCCGCCCACGCCCACGCCCACGCCCACGCCCACGCCCACGCCCACGCCCACGCCCACGCCCACGCCACGCCCGCCCACGCCCAAAACCACACCCCCCACACCCACACACCCACACACCCACACATACCCAACACACACCACACACCCACGCACCCACGCACACACGCACCCACGCACCCACGCACACACGCACACACGCACACACGCACAAAACACAACCACAAACACAAACACAAACACACGCACACGCACACGCACAAAACACAACCACAAACACAAACACAAACACCCACACACCCACACCCACACACACCCACACACCCACACCCACACACCCACACCCACACACCCACACCCACACACCCACACACCCACACCCACACACCCACACCCACACACCCACACCCACACACCCACACCATACCCCCAACTACTGCCAGGGGGGGGTTGGTTTTTCATAATAGACCCCAAAATCCAAGGGTCTGAAATTGTGTGCTCCCAGTAAAACCGTAACTTTTAGACCATGATCCTAGACCCCCCCCTGGGTATTCCAAATAGGGGTCTAGGATCATGTGGAACAGGGTTATCATGATGCTGACAAGTGATGTCAAGTTCGGGTAGGTTAAGAATAGACCCCCCAAAAAAAAAGGGCCCGAAAAGATTTCAGACCCCATGTTTGGTGATCGATTTGTTTTCAGTGACCTTACAATGTCAGACCCCCTTTCTGGGACAACCAATCTTAGACCCCAAAGGTGCAAATTCCAAATTTGACCAATGTCCCAACAGGTTGAAAGTCCCAACAGAAAATGCCAGGGGTTGAGCTGTGGAATTCAGTTTTTTTTTGTTTCATTGGGGGTCTGAAATGGTATTTTGCATCATCAGCTGTTGAAAGAATGGTTCAACCTCCAAGTAAGACCAACCTAGACCCTCTGTTGCGAGCCTACGCCTTGTTTGCGAGCTCTACATGGTTTTTCTTGCATATTTTGAAATGATGTCCAATTGAATGGTGTGTGAATCTTGAAATACGACCCTTTTTGTTAATGTGTTTTTGTCCCAACAGGTTGAAAGTCCTAACAGAAAATGCCAGGGGTTGAGCTGTGGAATTCAGTTTTTTTTGTTTCATTGGGGGTCTGAAATGGTATTTTGCATCATCAGCTGTTGAAAGAATGGTTTAACCCCCAAGTAAGACCAACCTAGACCCTCTATTGTGAGCCTATGCTTATTTGTGAGCTCTACATGGTTTTTCTTGCATATTTTGAAATGATGTCCAATTGAATGGTGTGTGAATCTTGAAATACGTCCCTTTTTGTTAATGTGTTTTTGTTCCAACAGGTTGAAAGTCCCAACAGAAAATGCCAGGGGTTGAGCTGTGGAATTCAGTTTTTTTTTTTCATTGGGGGTCTGAAATGGTATTTTGCATCATCAGCTGTTGAAAGAATGGTTTAACCCCCAAGTAAGACCAACCTAGACCCTCTATTGTGAGCCTATACCTTATTTGTGAGCTCTACATGGTTTTTCTTGCATATTTTGAAATGATGTCCAATTGAATGGTGTGTGAATCTTGAAATACGACCCTTTTTGTTAATGTGTTTTTGTCCCAACAGGTTGAAAATCCCAACAGAAAATGCCAGGGGTTGAGCTGTGGAATTCAGTTTTTTTTGTTTCATTGGGGGTCTGAAATGGTATTTTGCATCATCAGCTGTTGAAAGCATGGTTCAACCTCCAAGTAAGACCAACCTAGACCCTCTATTGTGAGCCTATACCCTATTTGTTGAGCTCTACATGGTTTTTCTTGCATCTTTTGAAATGATGTCCAATTGAATGGTGTGTGAATCTTGAAATACGACCCTTTTTGTTAATGTGTTTTTGTCCCAACAGGTTGAAAATCCCAACAGAAAATGCCAGGGGTTGAGCTGTGGAATTCGTTTTTTTGTTTCATTGGGGGTCTGAAATGGTATTTTGCATCATCAGCTGTTGAAATAATGGTTCAACCTCCAAGTAAGACCAACCTAGACCCTCTATTGTGAGCCTATACCCTATTTGTGAGCTCTACATTGTTTTTCTTGCATATTTTGAAATGATGTCCAATTGAATGGTGTGTGAATCTTGAAATACGACCCTTTTTGTTAATGTGTTTTTGCCCCAACAGGTTGAAAGTCCCAACAGAAAATGCCAGGGGTTGAGCTGTGGAATTCGTTTTTATTTGTTTCATTCGGGGTCTGAAATGGTATTTTGCATCATCAGCTGTTGAAAGCATGGTTCAACCTCCAAGTAAGACCAACCTAGACCCTCTATTGTGAGCCTATACCCTATTTGTGAGCTCTACATGGTTTTTCTTGCATCTTTTGAAATGATGTCCAATTGAATGGTGTGTGAATCTTGAAATACGACCCTTTTTGTTAATGTGTTTTTGTCCCAACAGGTTGAAAATCCCAACAGAAAATGCCAGGGGTTGAGCTGTGGAATTCGTTTTTTTTGTTTCATTGGGGGTCTGAAATGGTATTTTGCATCATCAGCTGTTGAAATAATGGTTCAACCTCCAAGTAAGACCAACCTAGACCCTCTATTGTGAGCCTATACCCTATTTGTGAGCTCTACATTGTTTTTCTTGCATATTTTGAAATGATGTCCAATTGAATGGTGTGTGAATCTTGAAATACGACCCTTTTTGTTAATGCGTTTTTGTCCCAACAGGTTGAAAATCCCAACAGAAAATGCCAGGGGTTGAGCTGTGGAATTCAGTTTTTTTTGTTTCATTGGGGGTCTGAAATGGTATTTTGCATCATCAGCTGTTGAAAGAATGGTTCAACCTCCAAGTAAGACCAACCTAAACCCTCTGTTGTGAGCCTATGCCCTGTTTTTGAGCTCTACATTGTTTTTCTTGCATGTTTTGAAATGATGCAATATTTTGTCATATTATATATGTTGAATTGTACTTACATTTTGTCATGTTTGAATGGTATAACTCGCGCGTCGTGGCGAGGTGCCTTGGCCATGAATAACAATGAATAGCCGTCTATAATTTCATACATTTTTTTTTCAGGATTCGTTTCTATTCTTTCTATCAAAGAGCTGCGAAGAGAACCTGCAGAGTTAGAGCCATCGCCTTGCTGATGCTGTGTTCCATGAAAAGCTTGGAGCAGATCAGGGAAAGATAGTGAAAGTTGGCAACATGCCAACCCTTGGCAAGATGCCAAAATTAGATAAAATCAGAACATTGCTTTGGGTGAGCAAAGTTCCAAGACAAGACCACAAAACAAGGCGACGCAGAAAAAAAACATGTTGTGCGATGATGTGCCCTGTTGGTCCATTATGTGGGGTCTGAAAAACACATTGCATGTCCAAAAAAATAATGCACAAACAAAAATGCCTACTTTGAGATCACACAGATCCTAATTATATCAAAAAACGTACGAAAACAATCAAAAACGTAGGAAACCCGTTAAAATTTACATCAAGTTATGTGAGATAACGTAGCAGGGTCTAATATCTTTTTTGTAAACCCCCCCCTTTTACGTTTTTGATTTTAGACCCCAAATGTGGGAGGAAGTTTTGGGGGGGGTGGAATGATTCCAGACCCCAAAAAGGGGTCTAGGGTGAAACCACCCCCTCAAATTGTCAAAAATGAGATTGATCATATTAGACCTAAACGGTGGGGGGTCTGGAATCATCAGTTTTGGGGTCTATTATGATTATGGGAAGTATGATAAAAACCTATGTTGAGGGGTCTGAGATCATCAGGGGGTTGGGGTCTAACATGAAAAAATACCATTCTAGACCCCCCCCTCGGGAGAGCCCTGGGTATACCATTTCAAACCCTTTACTTAGATGAGCTGGCTGGTTGCTAAGTACTTAAGACCTTTAGCATGTTTAGCTACATGCCTGGTAACCCCTTATAGAGGCTTAGCTAATTATTAGCTAACATTGCTAAACCTGCTAAGCTCCTTTTTTTTGAAGGCATCCAATAGAGAAAAAAAATAATCTGAAAGGAAAAAAATGGAAAAAAACAATTCAGCATTTGGACCCGATGCTGGTGTTTTTATTTTTTATTTTCTGTCGTCTGTCCAATGCAAATGTGATCAGTGTGTTTTTCAATTTTCTTCTAAGGTGATGTGGTGAAAACTGTCAATGACAAAGAGCAACAAGTTAAACCACTGGCTTGGCCAACTATGAAAACATGTGTTCATTATTTTGTGGAAAAACATCAAGGGCACACTCATTTTGTGGTATAGGATCATGAAATCGTGCAAGTCCCTGAATCACAGGAATTATGCAGGTATAGCACTGGGTGCTTTACAATGGCATGTAGCACTGGGTGCTTTGCAATGGCATGTAGCACTGGGTGCTCTGTGCTGATGAAATCCATGTGTGAAAACAGCTAGGTGCATCTGTTGGATTCTGCAGGCTGCCTTTTTTCCATTGGGCATGGTGCTGGAAATCTGCATATGTGTCATCTAGCCGAGAAGGGGGTCAAAGTTGTGATGCCTTTAGTGCTTTGGGTCCAATACACTGGTGCCAGAACTTGGTTCAAAGGGTATGCCATCTGCTGTTCAGTGTCATGCCACACACAGTGCTTGGGGCCAGTGGAGAGTAAAGAAAACATGTGGACGATGCATACATCTTCTCCTTGGAAAGACAA